TATTATTATTATTATTATTATTATTATTATTATTATTATTATTATTAAATCTCTAGTGAGATTCACAGTCTTTCAACAGCTTGAGTCCTAACCAAGGACCTAGGACATTATTATTATTACCTTCTCCTTCTCCCCCTTTTCCTCATTATTATTATATTATTATTATTTTGTGGGTTTGGGGTCCCTGTCCCTGAAAAGCCTGAAAAATTTCATTTTTTAGACACCTTCAAAAAGAGAAAAAGGCGACCCTTAGGATGAAATAGTGTTTAGGGCAACCTATCTAGACAGAAAAGTATAGGAGCTACCCTGCATCAATACAAGCCATTAATTACAGAGTGTGTTAACTTCCATTTATGTTCTGGTTTCCCAGCCAGCTTCCCCCTTTTAATCCAACTTTCACAGGATTTCCGCGTTACTTTTAAGATATTGTATGCTCAAGATATAAGTTACCTCTTTGATTTTGAGTCTGGCAGTTGTAACTGTTAAAGGGGATGTGAGAAGCGATGGTAATGATAGACTTGATTCCCAGCCTTCTTGTTTTGGAAGATGCTGGTAGTTTGTTCAGTCTGTATCTGGGTTTGGCCTGGGGAGGAAATGCCCTTCCTTTTCCAAGCAAAATATTGAGAGATCTGTCCACGCATGTGAGGTTTTAATCCATTGATTTTGATGTAGAAATGATTTGAAAAGACAAGCCACGATTACCTCAAGCCTTTCTAGTGAATTATATCCCTGGGGCTGGACTTGACTTTTGTTCAATTAGTCCCTGCTGAAGAGGACAAATTTACCCCTTTTTCTGCACCAAAAGTGAGAAAACTTCAATTATCTGACTTCCAAGATAGCTTAACCAAGATAGGTCTACTCCATCTTTTAATAATTCTCATTCATCCATGTTCTGAATAGTAAACTTTTTCAAGATATGGTACTATAATGTGCTTTTGAATTTACTTTGGGGAGATTCACCAAGTATCTCAGCTATCAGAAGATTGGCAAAAATCAACAAAAATGTATTTGTCTCTTATTCTAAAGAAAAGTAGGTAATTTTCCTAGAAATGAGTAGAATGTTTTGGCATGTTCCAGCTGACTCTGGGCATTTCCACATGTCACATGCAGATATCCTTTGGTTGTTGTGAAATGGTCCATTAAGGAAGGTTTCCTCAAACGTGTGCAGAAAAAGGGGTAAATCAAGATGGTGGTATGATAAAATCTCCACAGGCACAAAATGGGCAAAGCTTCAATGGCACTGTTGAAGCCACCATCTTGAGTATTTTCACCCTTGGGTCCAGCTGTCACTTCTGCTATTTGTGATGGGAACAGAGGCCTTTTTGAGTCGAAAGTATGAAATTTAGGCAGTTGAGACAAAAAAAAACTTACTGTGGATCTCCTACCTGAGAACTGACGAGAGAGTGACCTCTCCCCCCCTCCCTCTCCCCCCCACCTTCAAATCCCCAAGCAAATTTATTCCTCTTTGTGGAAACAAGTAAAATAAATAAAAGAAAAGAAATAGTGCTATTCCACATCCCCACACACAAATATTTTGATAGAAGAGGACAAACTCTATTCTCCCAACAAATTTGGGCAAAGCAAAGTATTGTCTCTTTATATGTCTGTGCTAATAATCTAAGGTTCTCAAGATAGTTTACTGAAATAACTCTTCCCCTCCTCCCTGTACCTCATATCTTTCCCTTTGCAAAATTCTCTGAGGTGCAGCAACAATATCTGATTATTATTGCTGCCTCTTCACAGCTGTTCCCACTCTCTTCCTTGATGCTTGAAGGAGCCTTGTGTTTTCATTGGGGCATTTCTGAAATAATGAGTGTGAGGCTTTCAAGCTAACAATCAAAGTAGTTTTCATTCTGGGGCATATTTTCTTGAGGTCTTTACATTTAAGTGGCATAAAATAAATCTACCCAAGGGTGCTGCAGGTGTGGTGCATCCCCTTCCCTTTCCCTCCTCTTGTCAAGTCCATAAATAGCATTAATCAAAGTCCTACTTTTTGTTAGCCAATTACTAGATGTATTATTATTCATGGTTTCTATGAGTCCCAGATGGGCTGCTGGTATTAAGTTTTAGAACAAAATGGCTTAAGGCTCTTCTGGCTGGGAGGCAAAATTAGGCGATTGACATTTTGGCCACAATCAATAGATGTTTGCCACTTTCTTCCCTAAACACCAAACTGATTCCCATGGAAAATGTTATTCCAGAAGACCAGATGCTTCTAGCAGTGATTGGCTTTCTCTGAACAAGCTTGTTTTTTCTTTTACAAAAATCAATGTTACTAACCCAAAAAGAAAATTGATGACTTTTCTTTTAGTTCTTTATTGGGTATTGAATATGTTGACCTTCATTATTTTTTCTACACAATATGGGCTTTTTAAAATAAAGTGTTTTTTTCCCCCCCGACAAGAGCAATCATTTTTCCTGTTGAAAGTAAGGGCTAATGTAAGGTTAATGTAAAATTATCCATCTGTTTTTAACACCTAATGGTGAAAAATATTCAGAAGGTTTAGTTTAACAAGTAATAGTGCTTTTTAGTGTTGAGATATTTTGCTAAGAAAACTATGCAGATATGTCCATGAAATTATTAAAAGGTTAATTTGACTTCCTTGATTTTTAAAACATGGTTCTAGTCCCCAAAAACACACACAATATACTATAGAGATATGTAGTGCTTTGAATTATATTAAAAAGACATACTTTACAGTATGCAGACATGTAGATTCAGCCCTTGTCTGCATTTCTTTAAAATTGCTGCATTTTTCCTGAAAGCACATAGCTCTCTTCAACAGCTGTTGGCTTGGGAAACTCATGGTTTTGGAATAAAATACAAAGTCTTGCATAACTGCATGATGTCAACAAAATGACAACATTTGTCATTTTGAAGAGTTGTACCAGGGCTAACATTATTTAAATGTCTTTGAATATTAGTAGCTCCGCTTGGTAGCTATGTTGTTGGTTTGAGCTCCAAGCTTGGTGATTTGGTTGCAAATGTTTCATCCCCATTTGAGGAGACATTTTCAGTGCACTTTGGATTGTGCTTGTCTGGAGGGAGCACTGGCCTTTAAATATCTTTCTGAGTCCTAGTCTGATGACATTATCAGAAGACATCCTAACAACAACACCAGCACTAATTTACATCACACAGATGGTACTTAAAACCAAGGACTATGATTCAGCAACTACAGCCAGCCAATCACACAACCCAAAGTCAGACCAGGACTCAAGAAGGGTATTTAAAGGCCAGTGCTCCTGCAGACAAGTACAATCCAAAGTGCACTGAAGATGTTTTCTTGAATGGGGACGAAATATTTGCAACCCAATTGCCAAGCTCGGGGCTCAAACCAACAACATAACTAATATTATTTAGTTAGGGTATTTCATTCCTTTTAATCTGGCAGAATGATGGATCATAACGCAAAGCAAGATGATTTGGTAGCCTAATGTTTAAAAACTGTCATCTTGAAATACTTTGTGGGGTGGGGGAAGATAACATTGGAAGGATGAAGCAATGAAGAGATTTTAGAGGAATCTCTTTTATCTTGCGTGAATGAGATGGCGATCACTAAATTCAATATAAATAAACAAAAAAATAGACAAGCAAAGAAATAAATTCTCTAGTATAGCTTCAGAAGATAAGCCTGACCTAATACATTATTACTTGACAATTTAAAAAAAGCCCAAAGATTGTATGGAAGCCACAAATCAAACATTTCTCATTATCCATAAAAAACAAGGGGGGGAAATAAGTTTCTTTGATTAAAGATAGAAAGAAGATTCAAGGATCACCCTAACCCTAACATTTAAACTTAAAGAACCTCAAATAGAAGGGCTGCGAAAGTCCATCAACAATTCCAGGGCCAGTAAGATAACATTTTAGTTATTTTAGTAACTAAGGGCAGGACAAGAAATAATGGATGAAAACTACTCAAAGAGAGAAGCAACCTGGAATTAAGGAGAAACTTCTTAAAAGTGAGGACAATTAACCAGTGGAGCAGCTTGCCTTCAGAAGTTGTGAGTGCTTCATCACTGGAGTTTGTTAAGAAAAAACTGGACAGCCACTTCTCTGAAATGGTATAGAGTCTACTGCTTGAGCAAGGGGTTGGACTAGATGAGCTCCAAGGTCCCTTCCAATTCTATTTTGATTGATTGATAGTTGTTTAGAGAAAGAGCTGATTCAGTGACTGAGCTCACAAATCGCACTTAACCATGATTTGGTTAGTACCTTTTTCATGAACACTGGGTGGGTTTGCACAAGCAAAGTTATTACATTTATGTAATAACTGTGGTTTCAAGCCTCAGTAACTGTTGCTGAGTTTGCAGAACATAATAAGCTGAAATTGCATTATTATGGCATTCTTCCAGCATGGGTCTATGTGTGTTAGTTTATTCTGGGCATCACTTCTGTATTGTTCATACTGGTCTTTAATATAACAATACCAGCATTTCCCATTGTTCTTTTAAAGTTATCAGTTTTTACCAGCATAGAGTTTAATTGTGAAAGATATCACAATTCTTTGGAAAAGACTTGTAGTTCTTTTGGAAATGATATTGTCTATGGACAAAAGAGATAGAACAGAAATATCATGTATGATAACAGACCCATATTTCTCTCGAATGAGATTTTTTCACTCTATAATGTAAGTTTAGATTTGCTAAGAATATGGAAGAGGAGGTCTTTTTCTGCCACATCTTTCTTGGTGGGGAGGGGGGGGGGGGTTAAGGTTAATTTGCCTTCAAGTCAGAGCCCCACAAGGTCAGTGTTGCCTGTAAAACAGGAGCAGAGGTTTGGCTTCCCTCACTACTTCCATCTTGACTTTCTGCCCGGCCAGGAAACATCTCCCTTTCGGGAAATTTGACGCCTTTGGAATTTTGAGTGCATCTTTTGAACTCTTGTCCTAAAATGAGATCTGGGGTCGTTGAAGGTAAAATCCACCAGAGTCTGTCTTGAGTCTAACTGTGATTTCAGAAGTATAAGCTCCACTTAAAGCTAAGTTAGTTTTTTTTGTAATTAAAAGGAACTTTACACAATAGGAAGGGCAAGGAATGTAGGAGAATCACATTAGCATGCTGTCTGCTTTGGGAATGAATAATAAAGAGCAAGAAGCTCAAACAACCCTCTTAGAAAAGTAGGTCTTGTTAGGGGAAATACCTTCCAACAACAGCAGCAGCAGAAAGGAATAAAAAAAGTGCATAAAACTGCCTAAAATGTGACAAGTAGCAGAAAAGCAGCATTGTTCTTTAACTGCAATCCCTGTAGCGAAAGAACCAGGTTAATTTATTTATTTATGCTCTGGTTATTGCTTGCAGATCCCAGAGTGGCTGTGATTGTCGCTCTGCAGAAATCTGGTCTTATGTAACCCCTGGCAATTCAGCTGAATGATCTCCGCTCCTTAAATCTGCATCCATTTAGGAAACCCAGGGAAGATGAACACCACAGGTTCCTTTTACAGACTCTTTTGACCATATGGCTAGAAAATAGGATTTTCATGCAGTCACAAGTATGTCTGCTGTGCATTGCCACCTAGGTTAAGAACCATGGCTCTTTGGAGGGCACTAATGCACACAGCTTGAAGCTATTAAAAGTGACTTTCATACAGCACTATCAATATATATCTGTATATATTGCTGCTACCTCTTATAAGAAAAGGTAAAGTCATTATACCTGTAGACTTCCAGGACTTCTTCTTCTTCTTAGTGTATTCCTGCAGGTGCAAGATCCGCTTTTTGGATCATTGAACACCACTTTGCACAATAGAGTCTTATTTATTTCCAGCTCCAGAAACTGCAATTTTCTTGGTGGGTCAGCTGGCATCAGAGAGGGTGACTGGCCCAAAGTCCCCCATGTGTTTCTGTGTCGAAGGTAGGATTTTAACCTGGGTTTCCCCACTCATAGTCCAGCACTTGAATCACTACACCCCACTGGCCCTCTTGTGATTGGACACTTACCTTCAAATATAAAATTTGCTGAAAGAGAATTACATTAGATGGTGCTTCCTGCATTTGCTTCTCTCAGAATATATTGTTCGAGAAATAGCTATAGCACTTAGACTTATATACTGCTTTATAGTGCTTTACAGCCCTCTCTAAGTGTTTACAGAGTCAGCATAATTGCCCCCCAACAATTTGGGTCCTCATTTTACTCAGCTTGGAAGGACAGAAGGCTGAGTCAACCTTTAGCCTGGTGAGATTTGAACTGCCAAATTGCAGGCAGCCGGCAGGCAGCAGAAATAGCCTGCAGTACTGCATTTCAACCACTGTGCCACCGTGGCTCATAATTATCTCATTCTTAGCATCGTTTCTAAAGGCCAAACTATTAAAAGGCAGAAGATTTCAGTTTCTCTTGATTGGGAACAAAGGGCAAAGTTTATGCGATGAAGCGCTAGCTGATATTGAACAAACTAAGTAGAGTTGGGGATGATTGATCATGGGAGACCTCTAAGACAGTGACCCTCAACCTTTTGGGCACCAGAGACCGGGTCCGTGGAGAGAGATTTTTTCCACAGACCTCAGGGGGCGTGGTTTCACATGCCTGCATCCCACGAATGGGGTTTTGCTTATTTGCGCGGCCCGGTTTCTGATGCCGTGGACCAGTGCCAGTCCACAGACTGGGGGTTGGGGACCCCTGCTCCAAGATATCCAAAGGCTGTAGGTTAGGCCGTGAAGTAACATCTTGGAAGTTAAATAATGATTGCTAGAAAACTAGGCAGTCTTCTCTTTGGGGTAGCCAGAAGTGGTGATGACAGTGTGATCATCTTTTGTGTGTGTGTGTGTGTGTGTATTGGGTTGCATTGTGCCATCATTTGGACTTTTTTTTTTTTAACCAACACCTTTGTTTCAGTCTGTCTGTATAGCTCTGGGAGCTGGATTGAGATGTCCAGTTGAGGAACATATTTGGGATGTCTTTCCTAAATCAAGGAGTTTTGTGTCTAGCTATGGAAAATAGCAATAGCAATAGCACTTAAGACTTGTATACCGCTTCACAGTGCTTTACACCCCTCTCTAAGTAGTTTACAGTCGGCCTATTGCCCCCAACAATTTGGGTCCTCATTTTACTGACCTCAGAAGAATGGAAGGCTGAGTCAACCTTGAGCCTGGTGAGATTTGAACTGCCAAATTGCAGGCAGCTGGCAGTCAGCAGAAGTAGCCTGCAATACTGCACTCTAACCACTGAGCCACTGTGGTTCAAGATCCACTGCAATGATTAGGTTAGATTTGCTTTTGCCTGGGATGATCCTTGCTCAGTTGAGTGGTTTCACTAGTTCTACTCAAGGTTGTCATAAAATCACTTGCTATGTTGTACTTTCTTTAAAAAAAATGTTTTGTTGCACAGATGCTGATGAATGTACAGAAGGGACAGATGACTGCCACATTGATGCAATTTGTCAGAACACACCTAAATCATTCAAATGCATTTGCAAGCCAGGTTATAAGGGAGAAGGAAAACAGTGTGAAGGTAAGATTAGTGGCTCTTCTATTTCGGCCTATATATCTCCTCTGAAATGATGCTGGCTGAAGCCAGCTAACCTCTGTTTAATCTCAGTTTGTGGCAGTTTATTAGGAAGAGTGTCCTATTGCTCCTGATCGTTGTTGAGTACTCAAACTCTACTGTTGATGAGCTACTTCATGAAAACTGAGTTTGCTTTAATGCAGGAAGGTAAATTTAGAGATTATTTAAGCATGACTTCCTGGGTACCTGCTGTGGCTCTCTCTCTATGCCATATTTTGGGCTGTGTTTGGGGGCATTTGAACCTCAAAATAGCGAAAGGGAAAGAAGCCTGGGGATTAGGTACCTTTTCTAAACATGTCTTGCTCTGTTTTGAAACTGTATTTAGAATGGGCTGCCAATGGAAGTATCTGTTTTTCCTGGTTCCCTTTTGGTCTCCCTGTGATAGCAAAGATTCCGCAGACATTGTAGAAGAGCCATGTTAGTTTGTGGTAGCCAAAAACCAGAAGAGGTGACTCATGAAAGCCTACACTTTTTAAATAAAATTACAAGTATTCCTTGGGTTGCAATTGCTAAGTGAGGCGGGCATAAAGCACAACATCACGTGCCTGCATCAATTAGAAGCATCAACCCCAGCAGTTCCAGTTATTGTCATAACCCCAGGACCATGCATGTTGCTAAGTGGGAAGAGGTGGGGGTCCCAGCCAAGCAGACTGGTGGGTGAGAGTTGCGAATAGGAGGTGCTATGGAGCACAGGCTGTGTGTGGATGCAGTGGGGCAGGTTGGCAAAAAAAGGCAGCAGGAGTTGACTCCTTCCCATTGATTTGCTTGGGGGAAACTGGCAGGGAATGTTGAAAAAGAGGATCATGTATATTATGGGATACTACAACCATTGTAATCATGTATATTATGGGATACTACAACCATTGTAAGGTGCCAAGTGCCTGAATTGCGATCATGTGATTGCAGGGATGCTGTGATGGCCACCACTTTGTGAACTGGACTTATGTCCCCCTCGTTCAGTGCTGTCATAACCCTTCAATCAGATTAGAGCTGGAAGGGACTTTGGAGGTCTTCTAGTCCAACCCCCTGCTCAATTAGGAGACCCTATATCATTTCAGACAGATAGCTATCCAAACTTTTATTAAAAACCTCCAGTGATGAAACACCCACAACTTCTGAAGGCAAGCTGCTCCACTGATTAATTATCCTCTCTGTTCGGAAGTTTCTCCTTAATTCCAGATTGTTTCTCTCTTTGATTAGCTTCCAACCACTGTTTCTTGTCCTGCCCTCTGGTGCTTTGGAGAATAATTTGACTCCCTCTTCTTTCTAGCAGCCCCTCAAATACTGGATTATTGCTATGGTGTCATCCCTAGTCCTTCTTTTCTCTAGACTGGCCATGCCCAATTCCTGAAACCATTCTTCATATGTTTTTGTCTCCAGGTCCTTAGTCATCTTAGTTGCTCTGAACTCTGAACCATTTGATTGTAATCCAAGGACCCCCCCTGTAAACAAGAAATAATTAATTATATTAAAAATGTAATAAAGTGGGTTAGAAAAGATGCTACCAAACTTTGTGAGCTCTTTTTAAATAATTTCATTTACTTTATGTTTTATTTGCTTATTCACATTTTGGAACTGACAGTTTTCCTCAATTTGGGGCAAAGTGAAGTATATATATTGTGCAAGGATAAATAATGTTGGTTTCTCTAGTAAATTTGCGTACTATACCACTGGATTTTTATAACCTCTGAGCACATATGAACAAGTTAAAAGCCCTGGTCCCTAAACATATCTCCAGGGAACCAGGTTTCTTACACTCCTTCACTGTAGGTTTGTATTTTTCTCTTATTCTTTGCTTTCCTATTCTTAAATTAACCATGTGAGGTGATTTGTTTTTTTTAATCTTTTCATTGAGAGCTCAAAATTATTTATAAGGCTTTACTTCTATAGAAGACATGTATATTTTGTTTAGCAAAATCCCTGATCACTATATCTTGCTGACTATAAACTTAAGTTTAACTTGGAAACAAAATGGCCAGAACATATGCTCTTCAGTAGCAACACCCAGATAAGCAGGGATTAACACCAGACAAACGATCAAGCAGACTAATCAAGGAACTACCAAGGAGAAAATCACATCCCCACCAGCTCTAGGAGGCAGGCTATTGTATATAAACAGGAACAAACCCCACACGCAGCACTGATGATGTTACCTAGTTGGTTAAAGAAACATCAGCAAGCAAACAACCAAACTGAAAGAGCACTAAGGATGAACATTCACAAATAATGAGTTTGCAGCATGATGAAATAAGACAAATTCTTTATTGCAGCAAATTGGCTGTGGTGAATTGTCCTGCAGCGAGTTGGCTCGCAAAATGGTTGCGGATCCCTCTCCAGAGAGGTGGGAACAGAGAGCTCAGGGCAGTGTGGTACCAGGGCGATAGATGAAGGAATGTCTGGATACATGATGGGAGGCACACTCTTGCCAGTTCAATGTTTGGAAGGGTCCAGCATGCAGAAGTAGCAGTTGATTGAGTGGTCAGTCGGTTCCCACCAAATTCTTGGGATAGCAAACTTCATGGCTCTTTTCTTCCCTGTACCAACCTATAAACATAACAGGATTATATAAATTTAAAAAATGATATTTCATACATTATCTAATATTGTGCAATATATTACCATAGAGCATAAATATATATTGTAGTCTGTATTTTCCTAGAACACTGAAAACTGTGAAAATTTTCTTAATTGCAATTCTTTTAAACTGTGATAAATCACTGAAATTCCATCTAGCAAACAGCAATTGTTCACTTTACCTTCAAAAGTTTTGTGTTCGCCTGTGAAATGAGTGTCCAGGGCTTGTCTTGATCCCAGGCAGACATGCCAAAATGCACTTTGTAGGCCTTTCACATCTTAACAGACACTTTCACAGAGTACTTTTTCGCTCTTGTCTTGATAAATTGTCCACACATGTAGCAAAATGCATCTGGGTGCAAAATACATCTACTGGATGCCATCTAAATCAAAGATTGCTATTCACTATTCTCTTACTCAGCAATTAGACAACAGAATGTTGGTTTAAGGCACCTATACTTTTATGGATATTACTGGATAATCCCAGAAAATGCTAGAAAGTTCCAAAAGATTCCAGAAAGTTCTAGAAAATTATGGCCCATTCTAAAAAATTCAGGAAAGTTCCCACAGTTTCAGAATATTCTGGAAGTCTACTCAGCATTGCATGTCAATTGAGAATGTTCTCAAAAAGAGATTGAAGTAAAGTTTTTGTGGAACAATAGCTAGTTTCTATTTATTTTGGCATAAAGGATTTAAAAAAACACTTTGTACAGAGGAACAAAAACTAAATTGAAATTTGTTATATGCTGTTATCTTTTTTTTCTCTCTGCTTCCCTCTAGTCAATTTTCCAAGTCCTCTGTTATCATTTGTTTATTATCCAAATCAGAAAACCTTCTCACATGAGGATTTAGACATAGACATAGAATCATAGGGCCGGGAGGGCCCTTGGGATTCTTAAATGTTTAAGAATTTAATTTTTTTGCACATACATTTTTGCTATCCTTTAGAGAGCCAAGCTCTTTCCAAGAGTCATTTTATCCAATGGGTTAGTACTTGCTAATTCTGTTTGTTTTAAATACATCTCCCAAAAATACAAACAGGTGATGTCAATTTCATTCACTTTGTGTATTGTTTTAAAGTGTATATGAAAAAAAAATACAAAATATAAGCAATATGTAGACAGGACTATAGATCAAACAGATTTGCTCAGATAATTTACATGGCCTAAAATTTCATGCTGAGAAGATACTTAATGAATATTATATGTATTCACACATGTAAAAAGATAGATGACCCTTCAACTGTATGATCATAGCTGCCATCTTGGCTTTTTGACACCCTCTTGTGAAACTCCTACTTGATAGAACAGGAATAAATTTAAATGCCCTTTCAAAAGATTACCCCCATTTCTGACACCAACCTATTTAATTAGACATTTATTTAAATATATTCACACAATGGCTTCTAATCTAGCATAACCCACTGTAGTCATTATCTCTGATCCATCCAGGATCAAATATCCTCAATTGTTTCTTAATGAAAATATTCCTTAGAATTATAACTAGGATCTTTCCACAAAATTGCATTTCATTTCCCAAAATCATAGATCTCAGTTGTAAGTATCTCCACAGACTTTGTTATTCAAAGAATCTTCTGTCACGACTCCAATAAAGAACGGACTGGAGCTGAGACAGCCAGGGTGTGATACGATGATAGTCTTTTACTTGCCTTGTGTTACCACGTGGACATTATGATGAATATTCTTCAAATAACTGACATCGGCTTCCTGACAAGGAGTGGTGCAATAATAATGATTCATGGCTGGATGTCAAGGGGGTGGCAAATGGGGGTACATGGACTCATTGAGCAGGGGAAAGGTGCAGTTACCATGTTTCTTTAATTTAAGGATGTTGGATGTTAGGCAGCGAAGGCAGCCGGAAGGTGGCTATAGTAATTATGTTGTTATCCAAAGTATAACATGTATAAATATAGCTCTGGGTTGCAACGAAACCCAGAGCTGACTTCAAACATAATTTGATCGCTGTTACACAAAAGCAAAACAAAGCAACCTTAATAACTAGTAAAATACAAAATCCTTGCAGTAGAAATCTGATATGAATGTAAATCAGATCAGATCACTTTCATCGGCAAAGGGAAAATTTTTACACCATCGACTTCCATGCAGCAAAAGCTACTCCAACATAAACTGGTAAAAAGAGGTAACAATTCACATTTGTAACCTAGCAAGGGTATAAAATAAGCCAGAATTCAACCAGATGATTGATAGTTAAAGACATAAACAAAAAAATAAAATAAAAATTCAAAAGGTGATGTTAAAACCAAGGTGTTCCTCCAAACAAAACATTGACAGGAAAAAATGGAGACCCAAAGCTCCGATTACTCTTAGCAAGAATTAAAACTGTCAAGATTT